GGTTTTCGTGGAAATCATCCAACAGTTTTAAAATCAAGCTTGCAGAACTAGGATATTGGTTCTCACAAAGACACTAGTCTATTGAACATATATAAACCCTGTTATGTTATGTAATTCGTCAAATGTCGTGATGGTCATGGAAAAAGCATATTCAACAAATGCTGCAAAAGCCAGAAAATCGAATTTAATTTGAAAATGATTAATTTTATTATGTATAAAGGTAAAAACATGTCAGTAAAAAAAACATGTCAATAATATAAAGTTTTTGTTTGTTTAGATAATTTAAAAACAATCAATTTTTATTATGTATAAAGGCAAAAACATGTTAGTAAAAAAACGTCAATGATATAAAGTTTTTGTTATTCATTTGAAGTATTCCTTTTCATGATATACAACATCAATGTTCCATTTAAAGTTGCTGAATCATTGTCAAATAAAAATGCACCAGGAGACACCTTTTCGCAAGAAATATTCCATTTGATCAACAGCGGTTCAAGATATCTGTCATAACTTTAAAAAAGATACCGGTTAACGCATTTCAAACAAAAATTTTCACTTGCCTCCTTGATTCATAAGCCATCCAAAATTCTGCCATCAAATTATTAGCCAATAAATATGAGACGGTTGACAAAACTTTATCAAAATCTGATAATAACATTTTTATATTTTAAAATGAATAAAAAAGAAACTAGTGCAGGCGTTACTAGATTTGTATGAAATTATCAAAATAGAGATATTAAAAAAAAAATAACCTTTGGAATTATATAAACAATCTGACCCCAAAACAACATCAATTGGTTGACAGTTTAAAATTGCAGAGTTAAATAAACCCCAGTCTAGTTGAAGGATATCAACATTCGTCAAATGATTCTCTTTAATATTTCTCAAAATATTTTCAAATATATAAGGCGATTTTTTGCTATCTGATAAAATTACTTTTGCACCCAATTTTGCTGCCAAGATACCAGGAAGAGCAGTTCCACATCCAATCTTAATAAATTGAAATAATTTCAATTTACTAAACTTGAAGAAATGTTTAAGAAAAATAATGTTATAACCGCTAGAATGATCAAATTGCGCTATATTATTTGTTGTCTTTGTTATATTTGTTAACCTTGTAAAACTGTAGATTGTAAACAATCTACTGTAGGCGATATAAGACGCGTGATCAGCGAGGTTTCTAGCGAGGTTTGAAAGGAAGTCGTAAGTGTGATTTATGTCGTTACTTAGATTACTTTAGTGTTTCTATCACTGTTGGCATTCGAATTCAACCGAATTTGCGTTTGAAGCAGTTGTGTTCATCTATCGGAAATTTTGAACCTATGGAATAACGATAACTTGATGATCGTTGGGAGCTACAACACTGGTGTTGGAAATACGATCGTTGAAGCTTACGACATTGGTGTCAGAAGTAAGATTTTTGATGGACTGAAACTTTCTGTGATAAAGAATGCCAGCATTAGAACTCAATACAACTTATCTCAGGAAGGAACTACGACAACGAAGCCTCGACACGAAAGGAGTTCTAATAAACGATGAAACTCCTGAGAAGTTTGATTTTCAGAATCCTATGGATGAAATTCCTAGAAAACTAGATCAGCGAATAGTTGAATCAAAAGAATAGCCGAATTACGAGCAGCAAATGGAAGAACATCAACTAAGGAGTGTCTACCGAAAACCACACAGAAATAAATTTGGATAGCAAACCGGAGGAACGATACACGTACTTGCCCGAACCAGTAATAACTGTAGAAGATCATGATATCATCTCACCTGCTTGTTCAACTATCAACAATTACAATAGCGATCGCAAGTCTATCCTTCCTATGAATGATTTCGACTAACATGAGAAAAGATAATTATCGTAATGATGGTTTTGAAAACATTGGAGAAGTTGGCAGTGTCAAGGACATTTAAACTTTTGATATACAATGGGACTTACTCGGATTTTTGCTAGCAACTTGTCTAATGCTTTTCATTTTGATCGAAACTAGGAAGATGATGACAAAAACGAGGATGAAGATCTCGAAAATATTGAAACTTGTGATATATTCAGTGGGACTACATTCGTATCATGTTTCCAGCAACTCACCTGCTTTTCTTTCTAGCAGCAACAACGGTTTTTTAAAAGATAACGATGTCCGTGAAGGCGGTTGATGTTAATGCTAACGCGAATATTCATACTAAACATGAATTGATGACAAATGTTTTTAGTTTTGAAAAAACCTTACCAATACGCGATGTTAATGCTGATGTGAATATTCATACCGAATATGAATTGGTGACAAATGATATTTCTAGTTTTGAAAAACCCTTCCAGTACGCGCTTTGAATAAAAGCTTGATTGATTCTAGTCTATCTGGATGATGACATTAACAACGGCTTCATTGCTGATGAAGATGAGTTTTTCATTGCCGCATCAATGATCGACAGAAAAGATATCAAGAACGAATTTTGCAACATGCATCAAAGCTATCCGTCTGGTCATTCTACACCTCGTAAATTCAATAGAAAGAAAGCATTTGCTTCAACCAACAAAATCAAGAAAGGACGTTTGTCTATGGCTAGAGGAACCAAAACACCTTAAACATGACGCGACCTGAAAAGAAATAACGCAAGTTTTAAGAGCAAAGACCTGGTTTGGTTGTACACGTACAGCGCAGAAACAAGAGATGCCAGGTGAAACTTTCAAAGAATTGGAAAGGTCGGTACAAAGTCATTAACAGGATAAATGACGTGATCTACAGGACCTGTGATCACGAAAGTCAACGGGCAAAGATGGAGCTTGTGCAGTTTAATATATTAATCACAATTCATCGGAATAAAGAAATAACGCACATGTTAGGAACTAACAGATTTAGGTGAGGTAATGCTATAACCGCTAGAATGACCAAATTGCGCTATATTATCTGTTATATTGATTATTCATTATCTTTGCTATATTTGCTAACCTTGTAAAACTGTAAATTGTAAACAAGGTTATGTAAGACGGACGAATAACGAGGTTTCTAGCGAGGTTTGAAGGGAAGTCGTAAATGTGATTTATGCAGTTACTTGGATTAGTTTCTATTACTGTTGAACGTTCAACGTTCAAGTTTACAACAATATATATAAAAAAAATCATCTATTAGATTACTATAAAGTTTTAATAAAGTAAATATAAATTGGGTGCCGTGTGATAAACATAAAGAATTATGTTAATTGGTATGAAAACAAGTTAAATAGATCGAATCGAATATAAAATGATTTGTTGGATTAGACAAGTACGTACCAACTGAACTTACTTCTAGAACAGTCTTTCCTTCTATGTAGGCTTTTTTGTAAATTATGTAACGAGCCAAGACAGAAGCTGACAACCAAATATATGAACCATAATCTATGTTTAACGGCTGAATAAAAAAGAAAGTAATTTAACATAAAACAGAATCGTTAGTTGCAAAAAATTTACCACAGCACAATTTTGATGTACACCTTATATGTATATCAACTTTCAACAGTGATTTACAACCAGAGTGTCGAAGTCGGATGAAAAATATATTTTCTGTAGATACTTTGGTTAAGATGATAAGTAGATTAGACGGTATCAACAGATATAAAATACTCTATTAACTTCAAAGGATATAATAAATTCACTAGATTGGATTATAATAACACTCTTTAAAAAAATTTAAAAACTCTTCTTTTTATTAAAATTTATTTATTTTTAGTTAAAAATTATTGTTTCATTTTTTATTTACATTTATTGTTTAATTTGATTCATTAACTAATTTATTTTTCATCATCCATAGAATTTGCTAGCTGCCTTTTATATAGAAGATTAAAATACATAAAATAAAAAGTGATCGTCGCTGGCTCTAGCACGCTTGCTGAGTTTCGAATTTTTGCTTTTCAGTTTTTTAAATTCGTAATTATATCAGTAAAATTTGTTTATATTAGCTTGTTACAGCTAAACAAATTTCTCTTAAAAATTTCGAGTTGATTGTTAGAGGTCTACATGGAAAATTTCCCGCAAATATCCGCGGGAAAACTGCGGGTTGGGAACAGAAGTTGGAGGGAAACTCACGGGGCGGGAATGAAAAGCGAGGGAAAACCGCGGGGCGGATATTTTTCGTGCGGGAAGTAACGCGGGACGAGAAAAATTTTAGAGGGAAAACCGCAGTTTACTTTGATGGCGAAGTTCCAAAAATGTTGAAAATTAGTAAATTAATAAATAAATAATAAACTTCATAGCTTGAACAGCGACGCAATTGAAAAAGTTAGATTATTATTACTAAGTTTAAAGATAAGCAAGCTCACAGATGCATATGCATTACGCTAAATAATATTCATTGTGATAACACGAAAGAACACGTGACCAATTATATTA